TGGATCGATATACAATTATATAAATTATTACATTGAATATTATATAATGTAATTGAAGAATTGAGTTTGATCGATTGTATTTTATGATATTATCATTGCTGAATTTGAACAAATAATTACCCAATTTATAGCTAATGTGTAGATGTACGAATCCGGTGCTGAAACTTTAGAGAATTTATATATCAGTGTTTAGGATTTGTATTGATTGGGAAAATTTACTCGTTGTCTAGCAACTCAATTATAGAAATCATTTGCTATCCTAATTTATTTGTGGAAGATATATTTTCTGTGTAGATATAATTTTGCCATCTTCGCATAAAAAAAACATAATATTACTGGTTGGAATTACACATTATTGAAAGCATCTTTATAGAAGACATTGGTAGTAGCAACAGAATCTTGTCTATCTTTGTCTAGAGCTAACACCTTCAGGCCATTAGGATGGGTGACTCGGGAAAAAGCTATATGTACAATTGACAGTGATTAAAGATCGGTTTTTCAGCAATAACCCAACGTGAGTTACTGGTTGCCCTGGCTTTTGTTGATAGTCATGGCATATGCGAGCATCAACAGGTATTGTTTACGCAGGAACTTGAAGGGCAATATTGTATCAGAAGGAGTGAGAGACATTCGGGGGATAAGAACTTTGGTTCCTTCGTTAGTCTCATTAACTATTCTTGCTTCAACAATGTGATCGGACAATCTTGTGACAAAGAAACACGTATCATTGCAAAGACCAATAGAGTGGTCTATATTCTGCAATAACATAACAGGTGCACCAACCTTTAATGTAAATGAATGATTAGGAAGTCCAGAAAATCTCAAACTATTTACGAATTCAGGAGTGTGTACTTCTGATAGATTTTCACCATCTAATTATGCCTTACACAAAGAGTCACAACTTAAATATGTTCGACCTTCTGCAGTGTTCATGTCGCACATGTGATTAATTTGATCAACAACATCTAAAGTCGGTGAGAGGATCGCTTGGCCTTCTAGGTGTGACTCATTAAGCATGTCATATCTCGCTTTTGGGAAAGTGCTTTCCACTATAGTTGCTATAGGATCGAGTCCACACTTAAACAAAAACCATGCTGGAATATCGATTTCATACAAACCGTCGTTACAACCCTTGTAATCCCATCTCCGATGTCTGCAATCCATTTTGAAAACCAATCAACTGTCTGTCTATCTTCCGCAGAAGCTAAGCTCCATAATCTCAAGTTTTTCGTGAACCTCAATACCTTGCAATTTGTCCAAAGGTAGGAAGAATTAAAAGTGGTTGCGACAACTATTAGTCTAGTTGCTTTCGGAATAACCAGAATAATCTGTCTAAAATCGCCGCCCAAAACTACTGTGTTTCCACCAAATGTCTTTTCATCACTACCCGGTATGGCGAACCTCAAAGATCCCTCATGGTTTTATCCAAAGCCTCAAAACAATGTTTGTGCGTTATCACTGCTTCGTCCTATATTATCAATTTGCTCCTTATTATAAGCTTAGTAAGGTTACGATATATTGCACGTGGAATCTTCGCTCAAAGAGAATGGCATAGCAAATCTGGAATGCGTCATCCTGCCACCTGGTAAGAGCAAAGATGCTATTTCACTCGAAGAAACTTTCAGAACAATATCACCGCGCCTCCTTTTCTTTGAAGATAACGTTCTCCACACTAACGTCTTGCTTGTTCCGCCGTAACCATACACAAAGAACAATCCATCTCCATTAGATCAATATCATTCATCACAGAGTCGTAGACATTCTTATTTTTTTTTCGTCCGTAAATTGTGTTACCATTATGCTTTGTCTTCAACGATTCCTTGTCATACACCAACTTTTCAGCTATCAACATGTCTTTCATCAAATCCATGCTGCTTTCGTTTCGAATTGGCATTTCTGGAAAGTCTCTCAAGCTCTTGCCCCCAACAGAGATAGCAACTTCTCTAACTCCACCAGAGTGAATTGTTTCTTATCCGAGTCCGATAACACTAACTCTTCATAGACCAAAAAAGAAAAAAAATCAACAAATTAGTTTATTTAGAAATAATGATAAGCAAATAACAAAGTCGAATAAATAGATTGGATGCCGATATACCTGGATTTTGCATGAGACGTCAATGCTAAAGATGTGCATCCTCCGCAAGAAATTCCCAAACGGCACTCCACACCACCTCTGGCCTACTAATTGAACTTGAAGTGAGTAGGGATGGCAATGTGCCCCGTCCCCGACGGGGATCCCCAATCCCCGCCCCGACGGGGACGGGGATAAAGAAAATTTTCGGGGAATGGGGACGGGGACGGGGAATGTAAACAATTCCCCGTCGGGGACGGGGATACCCCGCCCCGCCCCGTTCCGTCCCCGATTAATTTTTATAATTAAATAGATAAATAAATAAATAAAGAGATATATATATATATATATATATATATATATATATATATATATATATATATATATATTAAAACTTAGGTTTTATTTTTAAAATTTAAAATTTTAACTAAGAGTTGACGGGGATGGGGAATCCCCGTCCCCGCCTAATTCCCCGTGGGGACGGGGATGGGGAATATTTTCAATTTCTCGCCGGGGATGGGGACGGGGTTGGGGATTCGGGTACTCCCCGTCCCCGCCCCGCCCCGTTGCCATCCCTAGAAGTGAGCAGCTTAGCAAACAACCTTTGCAAAGCATAAGCGGATGCCCAGTAACTCGAGTTAGTATACTGTCAATGTACTCCTTGTCATCATCTAATAATCCATATTCATAACACGCATCCCTAAACGATTTGTGAATGACCCCGCAACAGTGTGAATAATATCCTCGTGGTTAGAAGGTCCACGTACCAGATTTAAAAGGCATCTACCTCTTATGTCATTTCATGCAGATGAATCAGTGACCATACCACCTCTTATGTCAGATTCGTGCCATTTTTAATCATCGTGAATAACAGTTTTCAATTTTTATTTTTAATCATTTACTTTTTCAATTGGCCTAATTTCCTGGTCACCTCTTATGTCAGATTCGTGCCATTTTTAATCATCGTGAATAACAGTTTTCAATTTTTATTTTTAATCATTTACTTTTTCAATTGGCCTAATTTCCATGTCATTTTTATTCTCAGTCAATTATTCATTTTTAATACATATTAATTAGTTAATTATTAATACCAATTTTTTTCTTTTTTAATATATATTAATTAGTTAATTATTAATAACAATTTTTTTATATTTCCAATAAATTATTAATAACATATACTTTAGTTAATCCCCCCAGCACAGGGTTCGATCTTGTGACATTTCTTCAAAGGGCTCCACAGAGGTGCCATCTAAGCACAAGGTGTTTGGCAACAATTCTTTTTAATTTTCAATCAATTATTAATATTCATTTTCTTTTTCAATTGGTCTAATTTTCGTGTCATATATATTCCCAATCAATTATATTTTTAATACATATCAATTAGTTAATTATTAATAACATATTCTTTTTTAATATTCTCAGTCAAATATTAATAACAGATTTCTTTTCCAATTTATATATACTATTGTGTAAGCGGTCTGGCCATTTCCTTTTTCATTTGAGTCAATTTGGGATCATTTTTAATTTTAAATTAAGTATTAATATTCATTTCTTTTTCCAATTGGCCTAATTCCCGTGCCATCTTTATTCTCAACCATTTTTTTTGAATATGTATTAATTAGTTAATTATTAATAACATATTTTTTTTATATTTCTAATAAATTATTAATAACAGATACCGTTTTCCAATTTACCTATACTATAGTTAATATGTTTCCTTTTCGAAATAGTTAATATGGGGATCTTTTTTAATTTTTAGTCAATTATTAATATTCATTTTTTTTCAATTGGCCTAATTTTCGAGACATTTATATTATCAGGCAATTATTTTTATTCAATACATATCAATTTAATAGCAAATTCTTTTTTTTTTTAATTTCCAGTCAAATATTAATAACATATTTCTTTTCCAATTTACATATACTATTGTTTGGACGGTCTGGCGATTTCCTTTTTCATTTCGGTTAATTTGGGATCATTTTTTAATTTTTAGCTAATTATTTATATTCACTTCCTTTTTGAATTGGCCTAATTTTCGTGCAATTTTTATTTTCAGAAAATTATTTTTTTTAAATACATATCAATTACTAATATATCGTGCACCACGACACACATAGCAATGTGCGCCCAGGCACAAAATGCGCGTGTCTTGCTAACGTCACTCCGTCCGTCCGAACAGACCAAACTCCAATATGTGTATTCAGTTAAAAGTTTATGTGTATTGTGTTATGAGTTTATGTGTATTCAATTAAGAGTTTATGTATATTATGTTAACCAAACCTCATTATGTGTATTCAGTTAAAAATTTATATGTATTGTATTATGAATTTTTGTGTATTCAGTTAAAAATTTATGTGTATTGTATTATGAATTTATGTGTAATCAGTTAAGAGTTTATGTTAACCAAACCCCATTATGTGTATTCAGTTAAAAGTTGATGTGTATTAGATTATGTGTATTCTATCATGAATTTATATGTATTATGAGTTTATATGTATTCTTTTATGAGTTTATGTGCATTCAAAACAGATTATTATTTTTAACTACTTAACAAAACGACGTCATTTTGAGAGGCGCAAGACCCACATGCTATGTGCGCCATGGTACACGATATATCGATTGGAAGTCATATGCATGAAGTTTGTTTATAGTACGTGTAAGTATTTGCAACAAATATCCATCCATGCTAAGTAACTGCTTACATGGATAAATTGTTTGTTGCTTTTCTCTTGAAATGATGAAAACCCATGTATCGTTTGATTATAAGCTTGAAAGAGCAGACCATAAAACTACAAATCCACCGAAAAAGTAGACTACAATGGTAAAATAAACTATAAGCTTATCAAACAAAGTTCATAATTTATTTTTAACTTAAAATAAACTATACGCTCTAAAATAAACTCTACCAAACATAATCATAGCATCACAAAATCCTTGAAAAATGAGTGTTCCTCCACTCATTAGGCAATGGCATCTTAGGAACTGCTTTGTGTCAAGTTCAAACATATTACAAACACTACTATCCCTAAAACAGCAAGATAAAACCATCTTCTACTTCTACTGACCACAGCACTTAACTACCAAAGCAGCCAAATTTCAAATGAAAAAGCCAATACTCTGTTCATCCAGCATCTTGAAATTGTGATAAATAAGAACACTTACACTCATAGATTCTTCTGCATAGTCGTGCCCCCACCCAGGATCCTGAAATTTTTTGAAGTGGCAATTTAAGCTAATGCTGTAGAAAAAAGCTGGAAATCCACGTATACAAATTGATGAAGAATGCCACCCCATCCAACTCAAACCTAGAAAATCACAAAATCCACATCCTCATCAATCCAAAAATGGAATGGTGACAATGCGTGTTCTGGAAGCCCCACACAATTCTTAGAATCATCCTAAAGATCCATATTTTCCAACATAAATGCATGCCATGCTGTACAATGCCCAACCAAGACTGGACCCAGTGGAAAATAATACACAACAAAATTTTTGAGCTCTCTACTTGTTAAAGAAACTCACTGAACGGGACATCAACCTACCATTTTAGAACCGATTAAAGGTTTTCCCAAAATCATTGCGTCTCTGACGAAAATCACCATAGTTGTCATGGGGCCTTGAAGGAGGATAACTTTCCATGGGATTTGGATACCTGCTTCTAGAGTCCATAGGCATATTGGGCCCAGAATAGTGTGCATTGCCTGCAGAATTCTCATACTCAGGATAACCAGTTTGATTGTATGGATGACCAAATCCAGAAGTGGGCATATGCTGGTTAGCCTGTGGTAGCCTTCTTTGAGCATCTCGCTGAACAAACTCTTCCCGTTGTTTGGCATATGCCCCTCTGAGGATACCAATATTTTTCATGTAGTTCTCCCTAATTTCTCTAACAACCTTAAAGTTGAAAAACCAAAACATTGTCAGGACCAATAAACACTGGCTTTACAAATATGTAGTCATGAACCTAATAATTATATACCAATATCCAAAAAACGAACCAAATTATCAAGTCTCAAAGGAACACAATATTAGGGCATCTAATATTATAGGCTACAATTTTCTTAACCTCAAAAAACAAGATATGACAAAAATATTCAAAAACACTTTAGAGATTGAGAAATTGAACTCTACCTCACGATGCTTATTATTCTCTTCATCTTCTTCCTTGTCCCGAATTCTTCCCAGATCATCAGCTTCTCTTCTATATTCCAATTCTATTTCTTCCAATGTCTGAAGAAAAGCTGGGTAGTCAACATTATGGCCAGATTTCATGTCAGACAACCGTGGCTCAGCATTCCATCCATCAGTCCTGTAAGCACCCCTACTTTGACTATGACCATCACGTGAATTGTATGAGTTGGCCAAAAAAGACCGACGAGCTGGAGACCTTGAGTGGGTTGAACGTCCTCTAGCTCCATCACTACCATAAGCTTCACCAAAGGAAGAATGTGTTAAGCACTTCCATTACGACCTCTAAGTCTCTATAATGATGGCAGCTTTAACACAGCAAACTATCCTAACTTCTCATAGTGAACCCATCTGAAGCAAAGGAGTCTGGACATGCTTTCAGTTAAAATTTTCAATTGGGTGACATTCCTTTTCATTTCAGACCACCATGAAAGATACATCAGAATCGAACAGAATGCTTGGACAGAAGAACTTACCTCTTGCTGCAAAAAAAGAGTAATAAGCAACAAGCACCATTACTATATTATATGGAAAAATAAGGAATTAAATGAGCATGGGTCTCAAACAACAATGATACATGTTAAAGAGTCCTACAACCACAACTAGATATGAAACTAACAAATCTGTGCAAAAGTGAAATTATATACTCTTATTTCCCTACCTTGGGGAGAACCCCTTGAAATGTTTTGTACATCTTCATGAAAACGGTCTTCGATGATCTTCTCTTGCCTGGCAGACCTGGGATGGAACTGAGAGGGTCTATGCGGGCTGTGATTAGATCTCTGCAATTCAGAGTGTACAATACGAGAGCTAACAGGACTTCGGTGCTCAGGTGTCCTGGACATGGAAATGTGAGAGCTGGAAGATGCTTTTTTCTCACCCTCTTCTTTTACTTTGTGAACAGCATCCACACCCTTTTTCAAAATCAACCTGTCCTTCCCACTGACTATAATAAATTTCTCCTCAATTTTAATCTTGCAACCAATATCCTTCTCAATCTGAGTTACCACTTTCTCAGTGAACAAGGCTTTCACATGATTTTCCCTAGCAGGCACTCTCTCAAAAAAATCTTGAGACTTTCGATTAGCTCCAAGCGTTGATGGACAGCCCTATAAGTAGGCCATTTTAGCAGTATAACATGTATAAAATAAAGCTTGATTCTATTTCCACGAGTCATGTTTCATTTCTAAAACAGAATGAATACTAAACTCCCGGACGCAAACCATGTGAGTATCATTGAACAAGTCATGGTTCAAGGGGAAATGATACCCTGGATTACAGAACTACAGAACACTAAAAATTGGGGAAATTTGATACCAACTAGATAATAGAGTGGTACCAAGAAACAATCATATTATTGAAGAACCAACAAACTTAGTATAAAAATCTTAAATTCACAAGTAGGAATAAAATCCTCCCAAAACACCAAGTTTGAGATGGGTAACAGAAATATTTACTTAGGCTTCATATATTATTCAGTATTCAATAAATCTATTTAATTCTATATAATGGCAACTTAATGAAACAGTAATCAGTAGGACAATTTATTAAAACCAAACACAACCAAAAAGCACCCCTGAAGCTTGGTCATTTGAATCATAGTGATATGGCATTCAACATGTATTATGGAGGATCAAAGACCTGAAGACAAAGAGTCCACATAAACAAGCAAAAACTAGCACACAACATTTGTCCCAACTGGTTTATATCCTTTTAGGAGGATAAGCCAGATATGCAGAAGACAAAACATCAATGAGAAACATTCACCTGTGTAAAGTGTCCAGACTCTCCACATATTTTGCAAATCAATTCTTCCTCCTTCCTTTTCTTCCAGTTTCTCTCAGTTGCTTTGGATTTAGCTTCCCAAACCTTTGCTTCTCGGCTAGTAAAATCAGTAGGAACAGCATTTGGGTCACGTGCCTCTTCTTCCTCATCAGAACCAGTATGGGACCTTTTGTTTATTGTAGTAGTCCTTTCTTGTGCCTTAGGAGCAGCAGATCCATGAGGACCAGTATATTCCTTGTATATTTCACTAAAATCATCATCAATATCCGAATCCTGCCTACCATCCATCTCAGAGTTATGCAAACACAGACCTGCACAACAGCAGTAGTAATGACAAAGATGAGAAAGAAGAAACTTATAAAATAACAATAAAAATTCAAGATTAATCAAAGCCCACTAGTGTCTAGACAATCCCACATTTCCATTTTAAGATTTTCTACGCCAAAAACCATTCTCCAGTTCTGCTTGTATCAAAAGAATGCCTACTTTTCTCCCTTATTCCTCAGAAATCTATTGCTTGACAATTTCAGGAGAGTAAGCAATCTGTAGTGGCAACACCCACAGACCACTATAGAAAATCACAAAGCATATGCTACAAGCAGAATATTCCAAAGGAAGAGAAACTAACAAAGCCATCAGTTGGAACAAATTTGCAAAAATTCAGCAAAAATCCAAAGCCTTAAACAGCACAAATCATCCATGAACTGTTTAGGCGAATCAATTTCGAGCAATATATTTCAATGTATCCAATGCAGCATTAGATGGCCATGGCACAATAACAATATCATCGAAAATGGCAGTAAATCTGAACAAAGACATTAAGAAACGTAGAACAAAACCATAGACAATCATATTCATCGGGCAATGGAATAACGTGACAATAACAAACATAACTTAGAGAAGACCGGAGGAATTGAAAACTAAAAAGTTACCTTTCTCTTTTGAAGAGTCTCGGAGTATCCGGAAGTCCGACGCTGAATCCCCCAAGGCCTAAAGCAGAAACCAGAAGATGTATATTGGTAGGGAGAAAGATAAAGGAGTGAGAGTCAGGAATGGAAGCGTCGTGCGCTAGAGGCGAGGGCTAGGGTTTGACAGCGGAGGGAGATGAAGAAATATTGGAGACTGAGCTTGTTTGCTTATCTTTTTTCATATATCAATCAATATATCTACTAAATATAATAACAGGCCTCTATGAGTCTATGGGAAAAAAATATTGGTTTAATTGTTTGTTTAAATATATATGGTCTGGTGATAAATTTGACCCTAAGAGGGCGTTTGGTTCAAGGGATCTCAGATTACCCTGGTAATCTAAAAAAGGTAATGTGAGATTACATTGTTTGGTTCAAGTAATCTGAAATTGAAGGTAATAAAACATGCCTGCCACGTAAGATTTGAGGGTATCTTTGAGGTAATGTGATTACCTAATTTTTTTTAGGTAATGTGATATTACTTTTCAATATTCCACATTTGCCCTCACTCTCTCACTCATACTTCATGTTTTTTATTGGTCAATAGACAATTACGCAGCACACCATTGACAAACCCATCAGTATTTCCCTTCTCCGATCCTTATCTTAACTACATGTTGCATGTTTAATTTTTTTTGCAAGTTTTAATTTTTTTTGCCTGTTATTAAGTAATAATAATAATAATAATAATAATAATAATAATTTATTATTATTGGAAAAAAAAAAAAAAGAGACTTAGCTTGCTCATTTTCTTTGAGGGCATTTAGGTAATTGATGTAACATAACTTAAAATATAACCTCCAACCAAACAAGTTAATATTATATTCCTAAAACTTAACCAAACACATCAGGTAGTCTTACATTCCCTTAATCTCACATTACCTTCCCAGAGGTAATCCTATTACCTGGGGTAATCCAAGATTTCGTGAACCAAACGACCCCTAAGGGTATTCTCAATAGTTAAAGATTTTTTTCCAAATTTTTGTGGGCCTCAATATCCACTTCATCATCCACTATCTTACACAATCACAAAAACTCTTTTTCCCATTAGTTTTAAATTTTTTCACAATTTTTCGTGGACCCACCATTTTATTTTATATTTTTTAATTAATTATTTATTTATTATTATTTATAAAATTATAATTATAAATTTAATAACAATATTATTAATAATTATAAATTAAAACAAAAAAGTTAGAAAGTTAAGATAAAAATTTAAAAAATAAAATAAAATAAAAAAGCTCGCCGTTGCAAATGCAATAGCAAGCATAATTTTAAAATAGAAAAATAAAACAAAGAAATTCTGACAATTTCCACGCGTCTCACTCTCCTCCTTTTTCTTTTTAAAAGACTGACAAAATTTCTATAACTTGCAGGAGAAAAAAATGGCTAAAATTCCCAACTCCCATTTGTCAAAAACTTAACATTGAAAATTTTACTATTCTAAAAGTTTAGCAAGATCCTCCATTGGGGTTGCTCTAATGATAGGGTTTAGAGTTTTTGAACTGAAAATATTTAAGAAAGTATAGAATAAATACTACTTTATAAAAAATTAGAGAAAATGGTCAAATAGGTCTTCAAATATTTTGCGAAAAGTGAATTAGCCCCACAAACTTTTTAAAATGTCAATTGAACACATGAACACACGATTTATAGTCAGTTGACCCCATTAGCCGGTAACTTCTCTAATAAAAATCGGTAATTGCCCACATGGCGTGTCATATAAGCGTTGAAGTGGGTACTTGGTTGCATAAATAAAAAAAAAAAAAAATTAAAATCACGGTTCAGCCATGCGTCTTCTTCATTCTGATTTCTTCTTCTTCTTCTTCTTCTTCTTCTTCTTCTTCTTCTTTGTACTCCATATGGGTCATCATAATCATCTGAAATTCTAGATCACCATCCCACCTATGTTCAGATAAATTATGTTTTATTCCATAATTACAACATCCCCAGAAAATAAAAACAATGAGTATACACATCAACCATCCCCCAGCATACCATAACCCACTCCTCGTTGGGTATGCTCAAAATCTTTTGGTCTTGTTGGCAGATTGTAAACATAGTTTTTGGTTGAATCTGCTATAAAGTCTTGTTGGCAGATTGTAATGATTTTGTTGTTTTTGGTTGAATCTGCCTATTTGAAATATTATTTATGTAATTCACTAGATCTTAAATGTGATGTACACTTTTCAGCCTTATTAATAAATGTATTCATGGCTTGTTACCAATTTGTGAGTATGCTTTTTTTGCCATCATTTGTTCCATCCATCCACCCACTAACACCCAAAGAGGGGTGGGTGGATGGATGTTGGGTGATGATTGATGTGTATACTCATTGTATTTATTTTTTGGGATGCTGTAATCTATATCTATATCTATATCTATATCTATATATCTATATATATATAAAAGTAAAATCCTCCTAACAAATTTTCCCCCTAAAACTTTTGTAGTAAAACTTATTTGGTAAGTAAATGTCAAATGGAAATTAAATTAAATAAATAAACTATATATATATATATATATATATATATATATATATATATATATATATATATATATATATATCTACAATTTTAATAAGAGCGAATCTTGTTAAACCCTTAACTGGAATAAAAAAAATGTCGGTACACCAGATGCTCCTCCAAGTTGTACTTTGAGCTTTTGTAGTAGTACATTGCTAACCGCAGAACCTAATCTAACCTTAATGCCAATTGCAAATCCTAATATAACCTTTAAGTTGTTATAATTTAAACAAAAAAAACACCGTCCGACTTAACGATTCCGTCAACAAAGCTATGCGGTGGCAAACTTGAAATTAATGTCAAATTGAGAGGCAATTACGAGAGGGGATTGAGGCAGAGAAGCACAGAAATTAGGCATCTGGTAGCAGTTCGAAGGAAAGGCAATTACGAGAGGGGATTGAGGACAATCCAGAGAAGCACAGAAATTAGGCATCCGGTAGCAGTTCGAAGAAACGATCTGCGGCGGACAATCCAGAGAAGCACATCAAAGAAATTAGGCAGTTCGAAGAAGCGATCTCCGGTAGCAGATTCTCTGGTCCTTCCAGTGTCGGAACAAAAAGTAATTGCATTTGTTTATGATTGTGAATTGTGATTAACGTACATCATAACTATGATCAATGTTTATGATTGTAATGTTCATCAGTGAAGTAAATGCCCATCTGACTTGTGAATTATTTATGAAGGGTCATATAACTAATTCACCCTAGGTTCATGGAATATGTAGTACTAATTCTAAGGTTATTGTTCACAATCTTAGTTTCGAAACATTGTGAATTGTGATCACTGTGTCAACATTAACACTAAGATTCAATAATAGCTGTATAACACTTGAGTTAACATTAACTAAATTATTTATGCTTCAGATTAATAAATTAGTGTTGTGGTAGTTCACTTTTTTAAATTTAACATGCTCCATTGATCATCCCCTACTTATAGATTGTTGGAATGTTGCTCTACATTGTGCTCAAGGATAAAGGTTAATACTGTGTAGTTTCTGGTTTCTTCTTGTGCTAATTCTTAAGTGTGTTTTGCCTCTCTTCTTTAGACGATAACATGATTTTCTTCCAATATGTGGTGCTTTTATTACTTGAATTCTAACCACCCTCGGATGCTCCTAATCATATATTCTCTAATTCTGTTTGTTTTAGCTGGCCTTAACAGCGATGCTTTCCTCAGTTTTATATGTGTTATATTGTGGCTTGTGTCAACAATGAGTTTAACATGGTATGATGAGCAGAAAGGAAAACCAGAAGTGCATGTAAAGCCATAACAGTAGTTTGCATTGTATGTTGTGATAATAGGCAAACTCCTTTCTCAAAAAGTTCCAAAGTTGAGGTTTTACAATTTTATGTAACTTAAGTTGGGGATAAACACTACTCAGATTATGGAAATTACATTCTGTTTTAAAACAATTGAATTTCATCAATGTAGGCTATTTCAACATATCATCAAATCTAATTTTTTAATCTCACATAATCTACAGTATTATAATATTGTTCTGTTTCTGATAATGTTTTAAAATCATTAATTATGTTCCTGCATTTATATTTCTAGCAACTTCATTTAATGGGAAATCCTAATATGTTTGCTCTTTATTGATTTGCAGTTGATATAATTTCTGACATTGAGTTTGATAAAACTGGCGATCATCTTGCTACTGGTGACCGTGGGGTTAGAGTGGTATTATTTGAAAGGAGTGATACAAAGGAGGTACGTTTGAAAAATTTGAGCAGATTATTTATTTATTTATTTTAAATTGAGTGATTTACTCACTGCTTTGTTTCTCCGACAAATAAATTTTAAAGCTTGTTGGAAGTCGAAGAGAGTTAGAGAGGACAGACTATCCTGTTAGTCGGCACCCAGAGTTCCGGTACAAGACAGAATTTCAAAGCCATAAACCTGAGGTATGCAATTATTCCAGGATATCTTAGCCTTTATTTGTCTTCACCTTATTGCCTTAACAATCATCCTTCGATTGCGAGATTAGGTGAACTGTAGTAGATGTGTAGTATATATGTAACAATTGCCCTATCTACTTGTGATGTGAATATCTTTGAACAAGATACTACTTTTTTCAATGTATATAGACTACACTACAAGAAATAAATCATAGATATAACTAATTGGTCCAAATTAAAAACATATCTTCAGATTTACCTTTAATTTAATGTAGAAAGATCAGAATTCACAATTGTATTCTCATTCATGAGTTTGAATTTATTGTTTTTAAATAGCTATGTTATGAAGTCTCGCGATTCTGAAGTCCCTGAATCCAGTCGTGATGCTCGGAATAGTAAACAAAGCGAGCAGTATGCTTGTAATGAGAGTCGACGGGCAGAGAGGAACTTGAGACGCCGAAATGCTTACGCAACAATGGATCCTGCTAAGAAACGAAAAATGCTAGATGATATTAACGAAAAGCGTCGCGTCAAAAGTAATGCAGCTAAATCTACACTAACTCACGACGTCAATGCTGGTATGCTTTTTAATTGTCATATTTGTCTTACTTTGAATTCAATTCTTTAACTTATGGACATTAGAACTAACTTGTTTACATGCATGCATTTGATTGATTATACATCACTTGCTTATGCAATTTAAAAAAATATTATATGATATTTCAAAATAAATAAAGGTCCTTCAGAAGTAGT